GGGGCTGCGGGTCGGGAGTGAGGGGCACTGGCAGAGCTGGGGGGGGGCAGGGCTGGGCTGGCAGGGGCTGTGGGTCAGGATTGAGGGGCACCAGCAGGGCTGCGGGGGAACCCAGGGCTGGGCTAGCAGGGGCTGCGGGTCGGGCACCAGCAGAGCGGATGGACCCAGGCGTCCGGAGGGTGAGGAACGGCTCTGGGTAAAGGCACAGGGGGAGAGCGGGGTCTGCTGGGTTTTGTCTCTGTTCCCCACGTGGGGGTCTGGGTTTGGGGGGCAGGAGCCGGCTGGCTCAGGTGGTGTCTTGAGGGGGAGGGCGGCCTGGTTGTGGGGTGGGCCCCAGGGAACTCCCCACCACAAGCTGTGCTGTAGCAAAGGGCCCGGCCCACCCCCACTCAGGACTGGGGCCTAGAGGGATCTCGACACCCTTCCCTCCCCCACAATTGCTCCGTCCCTGCCCCCGCCCCGCTTGCCCAGCTGGTGGGGGGTGGATGGGGCAGGTCTGGGCTCTGAGCCGGGACCACACCCTCCCCACATCACACACACCCCTGACCCGAGCACCTTGGGGCAGGAGGCCTCAGGCGAGGGGGGATGCATTTCCTGCGGAGGCCCCGCCCCTTAATGCCAGCATTCTGCCCTGATTGGACAATGGGACACAAAGCCCTGCCTCTGAAGAGGGGCCACTTCCTGTGAGGACATGACCCAGCAGGGAACAACAAAACAACAAGTCACACCTTCTCCTGGGAGGAACAGCCTGCGGGCAAAGGAGGTTCCTGAGGCGATACAGGAAGTCCCGCCTCCTCCTGCATGGGTAACGAAGTCCCACCGCCTGCCTCGATAACAATACAGGAAGTCCCACCTCCAGCCCTGATGACAATACAGCAAGTCCTTACCTCTCATAGCAGAATACCCAGGATTCACACACCCTTGTATTGTGGGTGTAACAGGAAGTCCCGCCTCCTGGAGGAACAGGATCCTGCCGACTGAGTGCCCAGGGTGGCCATGTCTGCAAAACACTCTTGAGCCTCGGGAAGGCCCGATTCACAGACACACACAGCCCTGTGGCAGAGCTCCCGGCCAGGCTCTAAGGGAGACCCCTCTGGGGTAGGATCTGCACAGGTGGTGTTTATGTAGGGCCTACAAGAGTCCCAAGCCTCGTTGGGGTCAGAGTGTCTGGCACTAGGGGGCCTGGCTGGGGGGAGCTCGAGGCCTCAGCTCAGCATGAACCGGGCAGAAGAAAGGAGACGCCAGAGGGCGAGAAACACTTTTATTGCAGCAGAAACACTGGACAGACCCTTCCCTCCCCCCTGCCCAGCTGTAGGTCCTGCCCCCTCCGGGCAACACAAGGGGGTATTTCCTGCTTTGCCAGCCCCCCGTGAGGGTGGAGCCATAGGTGTGATGGAGGCGGCTGTGCTGAGATCCTGAAAGCCTCGGGCCCCATTCCCGTGCCCTGGGGCCCTGTGCCCCATGGGCTGACCCCACTGGTCCGTCACTGTATTCCTCCCCCATCTCAGCCCCCTGAGCTGGTATCCGGGCTGGAGCGTCCTTGGTGCGGCGGGATCCCAGCGCCAGCCCAGAGGATGCTGGGAAGGGGACAGGGTCCCACTGCCTGCCAGCCCCACCCCCGGCAGTCAGTACTTGCGCTGGCGCAGGAAGAGCCCCGAGGGGCGCTGTGGGGACGGCGCATCCTCCCTGTCCAGCTGGAAGAGGTCACGGCCCGTGCGCAGGATCTGCTCCTCCAGCTTCTTGTGCCGCTTCATGTCCGACAGCACCTTGTCCAGCCGGGCCTCGCGCTTCTGGCTGCGCGAGCCGCCTGTGGGGGGAGGGGAGCATCAGGACCCCTGGGTTCCATCCCCGCTCAGGGAGGGGGGGGGAGCTAATGGTTAAAGCAGGGGGGCTGGGAGCCAGGACGCCTGGGTTCTATCCCGGCTCTGCTCCTACCTGGTGTTCTCCTGCGATCAATCAGGGAGTTCTTGGGCGTCACAGGCTCATCGTCAAAGTCAAACTCGGTCGGGACGTGGGGCCTGGAGCAGAGAGAACCAAGGGGTTAAAGACCCAACAGAGGGGAAGGGGCAGCGCCAGACGCACAGTCCCCAGCCCTCCCGGTACCCCTCAATGCCAACCCACAGTCCCTGCTAGCCCAGCCCTGCCCCCCCAAGCCCTGCCAGTGCCCCTCACCCCCGACCCACAACCCCTGCCCCCCCAGCCCTGCCAGTGCCCCTCACCCCCGACCCACAGCCCCCGGCTAGCCCAGCCCTGTGCTCACTTCTCCTCCTCCTCCTCTTCGCTCTCAGGCTGCCCGTCAGACCTGTCCTCCTCCTCGCTGTCTGGCTCAGGGGTGGGGGCCCTGCGGGGCAGGAGCTCGGCCTGGAGCGGCAGGGTGCCCTCTGCAGCGATCTGCTCGTAGAGGCGTCTGATCTCCTCGGGCGGCGGCATCCAGGCCTCTGGGGCCTCCAGCTCCTCGTCGCTGCAGGGGACACACCACCCAGCCTCCTCCTCCTGCCCCCGCTCCTCCGCCCCTTCCGGCGCCGGCCCGTCCTCCTCCGCTGCAGCCGGCACCAGCTCCGGGGCATCCTCAACCGCCAGGGACTGCATCCCAGAGGTCACCTCGCCCTCCTCCGTGGCCGCGGCCTCCATGGCGGGACGGGACCAGGCTGCAAGGGGAGAGCCAATGGTTAGAGCATGGCTGGAGACCCTACAATAACAAGCCAGCAGTCAGTGCTGTTGCTTTTCAGGGGCACAATGACCACAAAGAGTTCAGCGGAGACCCTACAATAACAGCCCTGAGCTTAGATGCCAGTCACACCAACACTGTGGCCATTTTGGGGCTCGCCACCTGCCAGTCATGCCAGTGTGGCAGCCATCCCAGAGGTCGGCCAGTTGCGCCAACCTGGCGGCCATCTTGGGGCTCACGCCAACCTGGCGGCCATCTTGGGGATCGCCATCTGCCAGTCACGCCAACACAGCGGCCATCTTGGGGCTCACGCCAACCTGGCGGCCATCTTGGGGCTCGTGCCATGCTTGTCATGCCATGGCAGCCATCTTGGCAGTGGCCCCTGATGCTCACGCCGAGGTGGCGGCCATCTTGCGGCTCGCCCCAACTGACCCTGCTGGGGGCTCCGGTCACTGGGCTCCCAAGGGAAGCTGGGGGGGGGGTCACATCTCAGCCACTGGCTGCCAGGCAACCCAGGCCCCCGCCGCCATTTTGTGAAGCCTCTGCTCGGGTCCCTTCACTGCGCGTGCGCCCCCCGCGCCTTACCACGCGCATGAGGACGGAGCCCGTCCCGCGCCCCTCTCAGAGCGTTTGCCCCTCACTGCGCATGCGCCTCGTTCAAAAGTCAGCCAGGTCGCGCGCCCTGCTCAGCGAAGTCTTGCTAATGCTTCTTCCGTGCGCATGCGCCATACTCCTTTTTTTTTCCCCCGCCCTACTGTTTGAGCATGCGCTGTTCATACTCACCGCTCAAGAGGGCGTGCACCACCCTCTCAGTACGCATGCGCCATTGCGATGCGTCTTAACGCCCCCCCCCACCCACGCCCGCTCCTCAGCCGCTCGCCCCGACTTCAGCTCGGCTCCAACGCCCCCGCCCACCCGCGCGCGTGCGCCCGCCCCATCCGGCGCTCCTGATTGGTCGGCCTGACCGAAGGGGCGGGGCTAGCGCCAAACGCAAAAGGACTGGCGTCTGAACCGGACCCGAAGGAGAACTGGGGGGGGCTGGAGGAGAAGTCGGGGAGCGGGAGGGGCTGGTGGGAGGAGCCGGGGGGAAGGGAGGAGCCAGGGGAGGAAGGTGGGGGAGAGCGAGGGGCTGGTGGGAGGAGCCAGGGGGAGGGTGGGGGAGGGCCATTGGAGGAAGGTGGGGGAGAGGGAGGGCTGGTGGGAGGAGTCTGGGGGAGGGTGGGGGAGGGCCATTGGAGAAAGGTGGGGGAGAGGGAGGGCTGGTGGGAGGAGTCTTGGGGAGGGGAGGAGCCAGGGAGAGGGAGGGGCTGGTGGGGAGAGGAGGAGGGGGTGGGGGTAACTTGAGGGGGTGGAGCAGAGGGGGGAGGATCCTGGAGCAGCAGATGTGGGGAGGAGGGGGTCAGGAGCGTGGCTGGAGAAGGCAGATCATGGTGGAGGGAGCAGAGGTTGGAGTTTGGGAGGGTCCTGTGCAGCCCCGTCCCTACCAATTATGGTGCCCTACGCAGCCCAAGCACCTGCTCCTCCACCCCCCACGGAGGGGCTGAGCTGCGCTCAAGGCCTGCGGGCAGGCAGGAGCTTTGGGGGGCCCCACAGGCCCAGAGCGGCCCGGGGGATTAGCAGGGGGCCTGGCACTGGCAGTAGCAAGCGGAACAATCCGGCCCCAGCCTGCTCCGCTCCCCCCGCCCCAGCCGTATTAATCAGGGGAAGGGGCTTGGGGGTAGGGGTCTGCCCCCACCGCACTCACCAACGGCGGGAAACAGAGCGACACAGCGGGAAGCCAGCAGAGTGGAGAGAGTTGTCCTGGGCCCTGCACCCCCCTAGGAACGTCCCTGCCCCTTGCAGTGAGCGCACCCCATGGGCATCATGAAATTTGTGGCAATTTGGTACCCCAAATGTCACGGTGCCCTACACAGCTGCATATTCTGCTTATGCCTAAGGACGGCCTGGTCCTGGGGGCAGAGTCGGCGGGGGGGAGCTGGGTGGAAGAGGTAGGAGTCACAGGCAGGGGGTCCTCGGCAGAGATGGGGGGGCTGCCTGGAAAGAGAGGGTTTATGCAGGGACCCTTGTTAGGCAGTGCACAGTGGGGGGGGGACAGGGAGACACTGGTGTCACTGTCTCTCACTGCCCCCCTCCCAGACAGCCGGCCCATCCTCCCAGCAGGCACCTGGCCATCTGGTGTATTCCTTCTGTGAGCCCAGCCCAGCCCCCAGAAACGTGGTAATTGGGGTGGAATAAATGGGCCCTAAGGTCAGAGGTGTTAACCCGACCCTGTCCAGCATTGTAGAGGGGGCAGAGTTTGGCATACAGAGATCTCAGCATGCCAGGGGCCACGGCAAACACCCCGTTCCTCAGCCTTTTAACCTTCTGTTATAGGTATAGAAAAGAAGGCAAAACCATTAAAGCGGAGTATTACAGCAGCTTTTGTTTGAACAACATCCCTGGTTCCCTTTGACTTTGGCTGTGAGGAGTCTTTAGAAAATAAAAACCCAACTTGACATGACCACCTTGACCAGACGAGGGCGCTCCCGCAGAGATGTCATGGAACAGGCCACTCAACTACCCCGAGAAAACCTGCTGCAATACGGAAATAAAAGCCCTGGAACCGTACACCCCCAATTGTCACCTAGCACTTTACACTGGATCCCGCATGGGATATCATCAAACAACTACAGCCCATTCTCGATGGGGATCCCATCCCGAAAAATCTTCCCTGAGCTCCCTTTTTGGCCTTCAAACAACCCCCGACCTCTCTCCAAGCTCCTCAGAAGCAAGCTCTCCAGAAGTGAAACCAGAAATCGGTGGGCCCTTGAATGAACTCACACAGGAAAATGATAAAAGACAAAAACACCACATCACCCATAGGTGAACAATTGTCACTTGCTCCATATCTGACCTCTCAGTCCTTGTCCTGAAAGGAAACCTGCACAAAACCTTCAAAAGACGAGCCTGGGTGCTTAAATTCATAACTCTATCGGACACAAAAATCATGGACTCAGTAGAGACACTGGATTTATGGCTCATTACAACAATCTGCAACCCACTAACCCTCCTTTGTCCTCGGACTGCAGAAGGTTAGCTGCCCACCTCACTTTGAATGGTCTCTTGCAACATGTGCTAACTCCTTGTGCTAATGATCCACTCTGCCTTCTATTTAGCTGTGACCCTCGGAGCACCTTTCCCAGCCCTGAAGAAGAGCTCTGTGGAGCTTGAAAGCTAGTCTCAATCACCAACAGAAGTTGGTCCAATAACGGATATTACTTTCCCCACCTTGTGGGCTGGTCTACACTGGAAACATACATCGGCATAGTTACATCTCTCAGGGTTGTTAAAAACCCACACCCTGGAGTAACGCAGTTATCCCAACCTAACCCCCAGTGCAAGCAGTGCTAGGACAATGGAAGAATTCCATCTCGGGGGAGGTGAATTATGCCTGGCAGCCTCCTGTTTATAATCCGACCTGTTCATTATGACTACAGCACCTCCTTTGTCAGCCCCTTTGATGATAATGTCAGAGTTGTTTCTGAGGCTGTGGATGGCATTGCGTTCTGTACGGCTGAGGTTATGGGACAAGTGATGTTGTTTGTCCACAATTTCAGCCTGTGCAAGTCTGCAGAAGCACTCTATGTAGAGGTCCAGTCTGTCATTTCGACCGTCAGGAGGAGTCCACACAGAATTCTTCTTCTTGTAGTGTTGGTAGGAGGGTTCCTGTGGGTCAGTGCACTGTTCAGTGGTGCGTTGAAAATATTCCTTGAGTCGGAGATGACGAAAGTAGGCTTCCAGATCACCGCAGAACTGAATCGTGTTCGTGGGGATGGTGGGACAGAAACAGAGTCCCCGAGATAGGACAGACTCTTCTGCTGGGCTAAGTGTGTGGTTGGAAAGATTGACAATGTTGTTAGATGAGTTGAGGGTACCACTGTTGTAGCCCCCTGTGGCAGGTAGGAGTTTAGATAGCTTACTGTGCTTTTTCCTCTGTAGAGAAGTGAAGTGTGGATTGTAAATGGCTTGTCTCACTTTTGTAAAGTCCAGCCACGTGGAAGTTTGTGTGGAAGGTTGGGATTGTATGAGAATCTCCAGTTCTGAGAGCTCATTCTTGATCTTCTCCTGTCTGCTGTACAGGATGCTGATCAGGTGGTTCCTCAGTCTCTTTGAGAGTGTGTGGCACAGTCTCTCACCGTAGTCAGTGTAGTATGTTGATTGCAATGGATTTTTTACCTTCAGTCCATTTCATATGATGTCCATCTGTTTGCATTTGGAGAGGAAGATGATGTCTGTATCTGTGCAAGTTTTTTGTTGAGGTTGATGGATTTCCACTCCATACGGCTAAATGTAGTGCCTTGCATGGTGTCAAGTATCAGGGGGTAGCCGTGTTAAGTCTGTATCTACAAAAACAACAACGAGTCTGGTGGCACCTTAAAGACTAACAGATTTATTTGGGCATAAGCTTTTGTGGGTAAAAACCTCACTTCTTCAGATGCATAGAGTGAAAGTTACAGTTGCAGGCATTATATACTGACACATGGAGAGCAGGGCAACCTCCCTGCTGGAGAAACATGGGTCCAGCCCCTAGTGTGACCAGCCACGCTGAGACCTGAAAAACTCGTGACAGTATCAAGCTGTGCAGGACAATGCTTTTAGCTGCCTCTCTGATCACGGGCTCACAGCTGGGTTGCAAGTTATACAGTCTTGGGCGACTAAGCCAAAAGGGAGAGAGATGGTGAAGAAATAAGATGGGGAAGGAAAAGGACATGTGGTGTGGAGGAAGGTGACAAAAGGTGAGTGACACAGGGGGGTGACAAAGTCTCCCACCCCAAGTGGTGGTTGGGATTTACCCAAAGCAGGTAGAGGTGGCTACATCATCTGGGTCCCTCTCTGGGCCAGTCTGGTCATGACATCCCTCAGGATCAGGACAGTGAAGGCCCAGCAGAGTGATGGTGGATCCTGGGGTCCCAGGGGACGGTGGGGGTGGCAGCTGTGATGATGACACTCGTTCCTTTCGGTTCTGATTTTCAGTCAGCCAACATTGCTGCTGTTCTCCCCACAAAGTCTCTTTGAGGCCCCAAAAGGGAGTGGTAACTGGAATGGCCCATCCCCTCATTATTTTGTTCACCCATTTGGCCAAGTTTCCGATCATTGATTTCCAGTCCCCCACTTCTCTTGTTCACAGGCATAATCTGATTACAGTTGTGGAGTTAGATCAGTAGGGACAAGAACAGCAAAGACAGATTTTATTTGGACTAATTCAGTCTGTCACCCTTTGGCACCTTTGCCCATCATCATTTGCTGTCCTAGGTTACTGTGACATCTCATGAACATTCACTCCCTTCTTGGTTGTGGTCTCAATTAGATAAAAACAAACTTTTGATAATCAGTTTGCTTAATGGATTTCCCCATACCACCATCCTTGGGGCTCTTTGAATTCTGATGGCTTAACTACACAAAAGGGCTCGAACTAAATTTGATTGTAGAGAATTTTATTAACTATCCTTAAGCGCAACATATAGCGATAAGAAGGCAAAAATATTAGGAGTATAGTTTTGCTAACAAACTAGGAAATTGGCCTATATGATAATTGGCCTATCCAAGTTTCAAGAATCGCCTAACAACTACAATTGAAAAGAACACTTATTCACGCAACATCTATCCTGGGAAGGTGGCTTTTGTTTTGGATCCCTCAGAATAGGGCCTCAGTTGTCCCAGGTGATTATCAACCCTGGTGTTGCTAACACAGAGGAAAACATAAT